TTGACCCCAGTTCACTGGTTTTATTCCCTTCCTGTTTGGTTTGCAATTATTAACAACTGTTACTCTCCTCTCCTTTCTTGTCTTCTCCCCTAAAGCAGGGGGTAGAAGGAAATAATCCCCAAAACATGAAGTGGTGAAAAAAGCAGGGAGAGATGGTGGCAGAGCAAGTGACAGGACATTTTTATGGCCCTGTGGCCATCGCTGGAGTTGAAGTGCTGAGTGGCATATTATGAAGCAAGCAGCAGAGCTCCGGCTAGACAACTCTGTGCTGATTAATCACTGAGACACTAATCTCTGGGCAGCCTTTGCTCTCCCTGCTGCTGCCGGCACCCCTCCGGTACCTCCCAGTATGATCCAGGGAGGGAGGGGAGCCTGGTTTCCCAGGCAATATGTTCAGTGGTGAGATGCTAAGCTAGGGAATGGGGAAAAAAAACAACTGGAGTAAAGCAAGAGCAAGCAATGAAACCGTTCAAATGTCCCCTCACCTTTTTGTTTTGTTTTGCTATTTTTCTGTTTTGTCTTGTGCACAACAGGGCTCTTCTGGAAACAGATGGTTTCCTCCCAGGGGTGAGCTCCCTGCTCCACTCCAGAGGGAGTCTTGGTCCAATCTGGGCCACCTCTTTTGTAGTTGTGGCATTGCCGTGCCAGGCTCCTGCTGCCTGTGGCTGAGTGGTTTTGAGGGGCAGTAACTGCTCCACACTGTGCTACCCCCAGTCCTGGCTGGGGTTTCCCCTGTCAGGGATACAGAGGAAGACTGAATATGCCAATTTTCTTTTATTTGGGTGCAGGTTCCTGGAAAAAACCCGTATTTTGCTGACATCTCCCCCTGCCTCATCCTCCCTGGGAAAACTTTCTGTGCTGCCTTGCCAAGCAATGGTGCCTCAGACAGGGTCTTTAACTCCTGGGTTGTCCTCTCTTGAAACCTGGATGCTACCGGTACAATCTCAATTAAACAGCCATTAACAGCCTGGCAGCAGGGTAGGATATTGGAATATGCCCTGACTTTCCCTTCTTCCTGCCCCTAGTATTTCAGCTAAAGCAAGGAGGTATTTTTCCTGCTCCTTCATCAGTCCAGTTTGGTTTTGAGGGAATGAGATGGAATTATCTCTTCTTTCTTGTCACTCTGTGAGATGTATACTACTGTAAGGCACTGATGCTGCGGGGGGAGGAGACCTCAGGGCCACGTGTGCAGGGACAGAGACTCAGGAGCTCTTCTCTCCCTGGTGTTAGTAAGAAACCAAAATGGCAAAAACTATTCTCAGAGAACTTACAGGAACTTTTCTATATTATCACAGATTCCCCTGGGATCAATATATGGAAAGTGTTGTGCTCTCAGTTTTATTGAGGGTCTTGTACTTGATGAGCTTTTCTGAAAGATCTAGAGCCAGCATTAACACAGCTGCTTGAAAGTCGCCAATTACATAATTTCTTTCTTTGGAAAAATTTTGGCCCTCTTGGTGTGAGAGAAAAAGCTTGAAAAACACATCTCTAATGGCTCAAGCACTGATTGCTTGCAAAAGGAACCTGTGCATGCTTAAAAAAAAAGAGTTATTTTCCCAATTTTAGGTACTAAAGAGATTCATGAATTTTCAGTGCTTGGGTTAGTGCTGCGATTTGGGCCGACTGAGCAATCAGGCTAGTTACCAGCCTTGCCTCTGCATCGATTACTAAGAGCACAAAGAGAAGGAATTTATTTTTTAAAAAAACAAAGTACGCCCTCCCTTAAAAAGAAAAAAAAAACGCTCAGAAAAAAGTGACTCAATTAATATCAGCTTGAGTGGCAGAGCAGGAAATCGGCTGAAAATGAACAAAGAGCCACGCGGCAGGGATGCTAATGCAAGCAAATGCCAATTCACACTTCGGCAGGCGGCGCGTGGCAGCTTCCTTTCCTGTTCAAACATTTTAGCCAGATAATGAGCGAAAAACCCAAACATTTTTCACATAATCAACTGAGTTTGGAAGGTAGAGGCAATAGAGGAAGGGGAGCCGCGGTGCTAATTATTTGCCGGCTGTCAGTGAAGCAGAGCGGGGCTGTGCGGGGGGTGCGTTGCTAATTGCCGGCAGCGGCTGCGGCTCGGGTCGCTGCTCTTGGCCACTTGGCTGGTGGTGGAAGCTGTTGTTGATGCACGGGCAACCGGGTTGCTTGCTGAAATGGTAGCCAAGGCACGTTTGCCAACAACTATTGCAGTAGGGAGGGTAACCGTTAGCAAACTGGGGTTTCGTATCAATATTGGTGGGGGACGCGATGGGGAAATGACGCACAGAAGGGCGCTGGTGGCTGTCTGGTTCAGGGCGGTGTGTTTATGTGAAGCAGATGGTTGACTGCTTTACTTTGCCAGCAGATTATGGAGTTGGCTTCGAACCATCTTGCGTGGTTTCACGGGAATGCAGGGATCCCGTCTGCAGCAGAACGTTGCTGCCTTGAGCGTGTTACCTGGGGTCAGAGCTGGCTGTAATGCTCTGATGTGGAAGGTGGCTGTGTTCTGGGGTGGTCCTCACCATCCGCAATGTCCTGTGTGACCAAAGGCATGCTGATGTTGCAGTGCCATTGAAAGGCTCCAGTGCTGGATGTCCCAGGGTATTTTGCAGGTGCCTCTTGCCAGACTTACCTCAAGTGCTGATAAAGCAACCTCATGCTGAGTTTCCTGAGCTGCTGTTTTGGGATTCCTCCTCCAATGTGATGCTGCATTTGGGAAAGAAATAAAAGGAGGTTGTAGCTGCTGGGCAGAATGGTGTGGCCAGGGAGTAGTTGGGTCAGCGTTGTCCTACTGCTCCCACAGGAAATGTCACCTTGCTTTATATTCCCAAACCATCCTTGTTTTCTGACTCTGCAGTTCTGCAAGGTGTGGGGTTACAGAGAGGGGGTAAGGCAGGATATTAGGGAAAAACCTTCCAGAGAGACACGTTAAGATGAACATGGCCAACAGTGGCAGAGATTGAAAGCTCTTAATCTTTATCACTATCAAACAGCTATTGAAGAAGAGATGGTGTGTGGCTTTGGGTTTGGTTTTGGTTTGGTTTTGTTGTTGTTTTGTTGTTTTTTTTAAATTGGCTGCTGGAGCTAAACTGTCCCAAGTAAATTAAACCACGTTCCAGAGTCATTAAACCCAGATTAACCTTGACCCTGGCCTGCCCATCACCCAAAGAACCATTGCTATTAAAAACGCAAATTTCATTTTCAAGCCTTCTGCTCTTAGAATCGATGCCAGGGTGTACCAGCACCTATCTGAAATCAATGTCTTGCCTTGGTGCTTGCTGTAGTTCTCTAGCCAAATGCTGCTGCTTTCACTGTCAGCTTTGAGTAATGCTGCAAGGTCTCCGTGGTCAGGACAGTGCTGTTTTGTCCTACCTGTTCTTCCCCTTAGATTTTGAAAGGCAGAGCTTCATTCCCTTGTTTCACAGAGGGCCTGGATGCTTGGGTATCAAGGTTCAATGTGTTTTGGCAGCAATGGCTTGGCATAGCTCAGTGGTGGTCTAGTGCCAAGTGCTAGTTCTTACTTCATTAGAAAGCTTCAGTTTAGCGGTGATGGAAGAGCAAAGTGATGCAGGAGAAGAGCCTGTGGTCTGGATATCTACATAGTCCTTCAATGGGCTGCAAAATTCGGGCTGAAAAACTAAATGGTGTTTATTTTTCAGCTGAAACTTTTTATGCTTGAAAGTGCAGATTTGAGTCAGCCAAAATTTTCACTGAGTTTTGTCACCTTATGAAGTTACTTCAGTGTGGCATAACAAGAAATAGAACTAGATTAGAAAAAAATTTTGCTTTTTTGGAAACTACTTTAGTTGGAACCTTATGTCATTTTAAGTTTGAAAAATGCTCAAGCCCTTGAGTGAAATTCCTCTCCTCGTGGTTAAGTGTAACCCACGTGATTAAATTTACACCATCATTTTTCTCTTTGTGGGGAAAGTGGGCTGCCAGCAAATGGAACATTGGTTTTGATTTCTCTGTGTGCAGACCACTGTCTAGAATGGGGCTGAACAAGGGTGGTTGTTCTCTTTGTACATAGCAAGACAAAAACTTCTCTGTAACTTAAATACAAGTTACTGAAGGACTGCGGACAGAAATAAATGAATAAGGATTTTAGTAACCCGTATTTAAACTATCGTGTATGACTTCTAAACCTTCATAGCTATTGAAAAATTGGGAAGGGCAATCCAGGAATGTTGTCACTGAGAATGGGAGTTATTTGATACTACATGGTTACTGGAAATTATTGATTGAAAAAGCTCCAGCTTTTTAGGAAATGCCATAAACCCAGACATTTTAGATGGATGGCAAGGAAATCTGTAGAAGCATGCTCCCTTCTCTGCAAATAACCTTTATGGTATATAAGTCTTCCAATAGGAGGATACAAAGATATTTAAATACTTTAGATTTAAATTTAAAGTTATGCTGGATGGTGCAGTTACAGTGCATAATACTATTTTCTCTTTCCTCTGACTTTTTTTTTTTTTTTTTTTAAATCACTTAAGAGAAGGTGCTCTCTGTATTGTACAGAGGCTGGAACAGCAGCAGGAAAATGTGACTTTGAAATAATGGGATCTATAAGAATAGGCAATTTCGTTCAAGTATAGTGATTTAGTGCCCTGTTAGTGTCCTGATCTATAACTCCATTTCCAAAGACTGTAAGTTTCCTCACAAGCATAATGACAGGCTTAAAACTTGTGAGACTAATGCCACAGCTTTCTCTGTCCTCAGCTGTTCCACATAATTACAGGAGTAAGGGAATTTTGTTCTGTCCTAACGGATTAGCTCCAAGAGGAATAAATCAGATAATGTTATTGCCTTCTTGTTTCTTTCCCTCCCTCTCTAAAAAGTGAGATAGCCTACATGGTGCAGTGCAAAGCCAGGGCTGGTAATGTTTTTTCTTGCCTACAGTCTGTGACATGGATGTGATCCCAATTCCAGTGTCACCAGGGCAAACCTCTTGTAGCGCTCTGGTTCTGCTGTTTGTTGCTTTTGGTACTAATTTCAGCTTCTGTGTTCACTCTGCTCACAGACGATGGCCCTTACTCGAAGGGGAGCAAGGACTCCGGTGGGATGGACGCAGCCCTGGTCTCCAGGAGGCAAAGCATCCCAGGTAAAGGAGGGGAGGAGTTCCTGCTCCAAAACTGAGGCATCCATTACACTTTAACTGACTACCCCTAAAATGGGTAAAACCCTCCAAAAAGCCCATTTTGGTGCATCAGTCAGCAAGGCTTTTGCTGGGGAGCAGAAATGGTAGTAACCAGTCTCAGTGAGTGGTATGTTACTGGTGCAATCACAGTCTGGTGTGGAGCTGTTGATGGTGGCTACAGTGAGCCGGGAAAGGACTGGTTCTTGTGGTGGGCTGACACCCACAAAGAGGAAAACAGCAGCAAAGAAGAGAGGGAAGAGGCACTGCCACATCCCAGCTCGCCGGGTGGGGAGGGAGACTGGCAGTGTCTGGCAAGCTTCGTATTTCCCATGTGTGACTAAGTTTGTTTTGATATTTAGTCAGTCACAGCAGACTGGTGTATGAGATAAACCTTCCCATGCAGGAACACCCCTGGGGGCTGAAGAGGGAATGGAGAAATGGTAGTACGTTTGCCACTGGTAGTGCTGGGCTTTGTCTACCAGCAGCACGCCAGCAGGTTTGGATGGGCTACTCCAGACAACTCAGCTCCTTCCTAATAAGGCCTGGGGCTTCATTTTGACTTCTGACCATGAATGACCCAGTCACAGGTTTGGTTTAGTGTGCTATAGGGGGTGGGAAGGAAACAGGGCCCTTTTGCCATTGCTTCATCATTCTGCAGTTTTTCTAGGGGATATCTTCTGCATCCTCTGGGGCTTCTGCAACACATTGCCACTGTACTGCAGCCCTGATGGAGACGGGCTGACTCCCTGCTCACAAGATGCAGTCTGTCCAACAACTCGGGGCATCTTAATAGGGAGGGCAAAATTCAGGTGTGCTCTTCCTGCCCTGGAATGCTCTGCGTAACAAAATCCGAATGTATGCTAATAGAAGAAATCCAAGATCACTCTCCTATGATGCCTAAAGAGCATGTCTTGAAGGACCAGATCGTGCTTAACTAGTTCACTTTTACATCTGTGTGTGTCTGTTGAAGCAGCAATAGATTATAGTGGTACTGGTCAGAATCCCTTATTGCTTACCTTGATAGATCGATCTCAGGGACTTGCCTTTTTTCGGAGCAGTGGTTTCTCCTTGAACCCATAACAATGGATAATTGCACTCTGGGAGTTCTCATTTTAAACACTTATCAAGGATCAAAATTAAACCCCATTGAAGAGCTAATAATCTCCCCTTGCGGCACCATCTGTGTGGATCAGTCATGTCTGTAGTTGAGAGGAAATTTGCAGGATAGTGCCGGATGGTGTTCCTTCCAGCATGGCAGGGAGCCCCCACAAAGTTTCTGGCAGCCCCTGGGATCCTGGGTTGGTGAATTGAAAACTAAGTTACTGTAGTTGGCAAGGGATCAAAATTGAGTTTAAAAAGCAGAAACATTGTGGACCTGACATTTTACAACGAGCTGCCAGTGCCACGTTAAATAGGTGCCCAGCAGTGCCTGAACACCTTCCAGACTGGCGCTAGATTGCAAAGAGGTTCCCCACTCACGTTAATCAAGAGCATAGATTAGTCTTGGAAGTGCTTTACAAAACAGGTACTGCATGGCAGGACTTGGAAGTGGGGTGCAATTTCTGGTGCTGTGGTGGCATTACACAAGGAGCAAAGTGCTAGTAGTGACGAGGCGCCATGCTGCCAAATGACACTGTGTTTTCTCCCAGTGAAAAAGGATGGAGGGGGGAAGCCCTGCACCAGCATGGACCTTCTGTGTCAATATGTTAAGAGACCCTGCCTTGCTCTGGAAATCATAGTGTACAAGAGGTTTCTAATGTTCCCTCTCCAAATAGAGCATCTAATTTAAACCTGATGGGGTTTGGCTGTGCAAACAACCTCCTGGGCTATTTGGAGCATGGGTTCTTGTCCACAGCTGTGCGTCTGCTGTTTGCCATGTGCTGCCAATGCCCATCACCACCTTCCCCTGCATGGTCTTGGAGAAAGGCACCCTGTGTGAGGGAGACTGTTTTCCTCCTGTAAAATTATGGGAGATTTTAGAATACCAGAGGTAGTGGAGGTGGATGGATCATGTTGTAGACAAATGCTGCAAAAGCTTCTTAGAGGAGGCTCTGGCAAGGCATGAAAGTCATCTCATTTGCCCCAGGGCTAGTCCTCCTTTGAGCAAAGAGTGCGAGTGCCGTCATGTGGATTAATGTGGAGCTGCCTTTGCCAAGTCTGCAGAGCTCTTGGTCCTTCCTCAGGCTGGTGCTGGCCCTCTTCCTAACTTACTCCCCTCCTCCATGTCAAATCCAGAGGTTGGAATAGTTTAGGGACCCTGGTTTTGTAAAACCCAGATGAGGGGTGTACTAGGCTCAAAACTGGCATCAGGTTGGGCTTATATTTTGGTGCTGGACAAACAAGAATGTCATTTTGGACTAAAGGAAAGTAAAATGTATGCTGCCTGCAGCAAACAGAAGTGGAACTGGTGCAGCAGGTGTGGGGTGTGCACCCCCTAAACCTGACCCTTCCATACGTATTATGGCTGACAGCGCATGTGGAACCAGTTGTGTTGTACGAGTGACTCATGTTTTCAATTCCAGCTGTGAATGATGTGGGTGATATGGACGAGGTTTAACTTAGACTAGGTGCAGATGGGTGGGGAAACTGCTGTGAATGAACTAAGGTCATGCCTCCCCCTCCTTCCCCTGCTGATGGCAGGATCCCGCCCCTCTCCACATTGTATTCTTTTTCTTCCAACTCTGTTGATGTCTCAGATTTTTTTAATCACATTATTTTAAGATCCACCCTGTTCTGTCCGTTCAGACAGCTATTCCAGGTCCATAGCATCCTCCTACGTGGTCACTGTGACTGCCTGACATGTAGCCCTCCTAACACCCTCCCCACTCTGTCAAACATAGTTCCTGAGGTAGTCTCCCTGGACCGTTGTTGAGATCCCATCACCCTGGTTTTGAGTCCTTCCACTGCCACCACCAGCACACTGAAACACAAGGTTTTATCCTCTCACAAGCCCTCACTCCTCTGCCTTGTTCTGCTTGTCCTACCTGCCAGACCTGCATGCCAATGCTTTCCCTCCACCAGGACACACTTCTGTTTCACAACTTAATTTTAAATGGACTGAAGCTTTCTCTTCTTGCTAATTGTACAAATCATTCCAGGTCTGCTCTCCCGCCACCTGTAGGAAAAGGCTGCCCTTGGGACTGGGAGGAATGTGCCTTCCACTGAGATGTTTGTCTTTATTCCTAATCTTTCAGAAGAGTTCAGAGGGGTCACCATCGTGGAGCTGATTAAAAAGGAAGGAAGCACCCTTGGATTAACCATTTCAGGTGGCACAGACAAAGATGGAAAGCCAAGAGTCTCCAATCTGAGACCAGGAGGACTGGCTGCAAGGTGAGAGATGGAAATGGGGTGCAGAAAGCACAGTAAAACCAGAGGGAATAGTTGCATGTTCTAGCTACCGAATGAATATGGTTATAATTAAAATAGTTGGCACCCAACTCCCTTTTTTCAAGTGCCCCAGAATGCAAGGTTGTTGCTTCAGTAGGTAGAACGTCTTCTATTTTGAGTTATTTTCTATGCTCTGTGCAATTATGCTCTGAAATTTTGTGTAGGGATATTTGGGATTCTGTGAAATTAGACAGCCTTGTCAGAGGAGCTGCATGGTACAATACATCTTGATCAAGCTAAGTGGTTTAATATTGTATCTGTTCTGAATACTGAGTGTGAATGTAATGTTATTGGCTCAGAAAAGGAATGGGAGAAGAAAGGCTCCAAGAAGCAGAGAAAGGGAAGGAGTAATTGAACAATTTTGCAGAAAACAGGAAAAAGGAAAGATATTTTCTTTTTCTGCACTGGGTTTTTTTTCCAGACAGCTCTTGGTGTGCTTCTCTTTGACTGATTGCTCTACATGAATGGGAACTGAGCAACAAAAAGAGAGGTTGTGAACATGTATACCCTGATTGTTGCTGTATGTACCGATCTGAACACTTGCCACTGGGAAAGACAGATGGCTTCGATTTTAGCACTTCCCTGATAGCAGGCACATGCAGTCAGACAGCTAAGATCAGCCCAGTGTTGGTGGCTTGTTCAGAGTCCCCCAGTTACTAAATGTTCATCAGGCACATCCAGGCTGAGTGTAGCAGATTTTGTGCTACTACTGTTCTGTTGTTTTTTTTTTTTCTTCGTGTTTATTTTTGCAGAAGTGACCAGCTGAACGTCGGGGATTACATCAAGTCGGTGAATGGCATTAACCTGACCAAGCTGCGGCACGATGAGATCATAAGCCTGCTGAAAAACGTGGGCGAAAGGGTAGTGCTGGAAGTAGAGTACGAGCTCCCGCCAGCCGGTGGGTGCCTCTCCGATAACACTGCTCTCTTTTCTTGGCTGCTTTTTGTCCTGGGGTACAGATGGGCTTCCTCGTGCATTAACTGTTGTGGCCAGGGCAGTATCCAGGGGCATTTTGACGTTCTGCCTTCATCTGCTGGCGGAGCGGCGGAGGATGCTGCAGAGCTATGTGCAGTCGGAGCAGAGTGCTTTTTCCGGCACAGTGGGTGCCTGTTCATGCACACTGCTGGGAGATGGCTGATTAGGTCTGTCTTGCCTCGGAGTGACTCAGTAGCACAGGCCAATCTGCCTCCTGATGCTGCTTCGGCTTGTTTTTCTTTTTCCCTTTTGGAGCACGGCTATGGGAGGCTTCATTCAGTCTTAAGCACGTATTGCCAGATCCCCTTTCCTGAACTGTGGCAAATGCTGTTATTCCTCAAGATGCTTTGAAATGTTATGTGTTTTCAGAAGGGAAGCTGAAGCAATCTGCTTTCCAGCTAAGGAGCCCTGGCAGAAGCTGGCAAGGCCAACTCACTTTAACAGGGCTTGTGTCCTGACACGGGAGACTGTGTTGCCTTTTCCCTTGTTTGTTTGTTCTGATTAAAACAAATTCCTCGATACAGTTTCTCATCACAGGCTTTCCATTGTGAAAACGCTCTCCACAGTTATTACTCATTCAGTTACCTAAATCAATCAGAGGATGATTGGACAGAAGAAATAGAACAACTAAAAATAAGCCGAGAGGCAAAACAAAAATAATGAAATGTAAATGTTTTGCCCCAGATAGGAAGCTATCTTACACTGCATAGCTTTGGTATAGCTGCTCCCGTTATGTGAAAAGTATTGAATGTATAAATGATGATATAAAGGCCTAGGAAATAAAAAAAATAATAATCTGAATTAACTAAATCTCAGTCTATCATCCCTCTCCGTTCTGCTGCAAATATTAGTTAGCTGTAGCACACAGCCCTGGTAAAACCCTGTGTTTCAAGTTTCCCATGTTCTCATACTACTAGAGGTGACAGCTCTTAACCTTTCTCCGTAGCTGGGAGCCTGGCTATCAGGAATCTGATAAGCTGTACTTACCAGCTAAGGAGCAGGGCCAATGCCCCATGGCTCGATCAATAGCAGCGATGCAAAATGTCCCCAGCTCTGAATGGGCAGGGACACACACACTGAAACAGTGACTCCTCTCCAATGAGATTATTGATGCTGTTTATGACTAATCCAAACAAAGAGGCACTGAAAAATACAGGGAATTGTCAATTATTGCCTTGTTCCAGTTCATTGTGGGCTTTTATCTGCGGTGAGGGTTTGTTATTGCTGTGTGCACCCGCCTCTCTCTCTCATTCTCTCTCTTTCCCTGGGCAAAGAGCAGAAATAGAGTGCAATTCATTCGCTTGTGCTTGTGGGTTTGAATTTTTCTCCCCACTTTGTAATTTCCTGCTCTGGAAGAGACCTTGCAAGTCCAAGTGTGGTTTTCAGGCCACTGTGTCACATCATCTCTTTCATAAATAAGCAAGCCCTGTGTTAACACTAGCTTAGGTTTCCCTGCTCCCCACTGATCTTACGAAAGGCTGTTGCAGCACTTCATGCTTGAGTGCTTAGGATGGAAATTGGGTGGTTTCTGAACTCATTTGTGGATGCTTTATACCCTTTTCTTGGTATGTGAGTATCACCCCTTAGCTGGGAGCCTTCCCGTGCCCTGAGCTTTTCCCTTCTGGAGCGTTTCCAGGCTGTGTCCCTGTTAGCAGCCTGTGTGCAGCAGCAGGAGCAAAGCGGCCATGCGGGGGACAGTGTTTTGGGGGTTTATTTGGCCTTGCCATTGGCTGATCCCCAGGGCTGTCTGCCTGCCAAGCAGTACCATGCCTCCACTTATGTCTTTTAGGTTAGTTTAAGAGTTAGTTTAGCCCAAATTTGGGTGCCGGCTGCAAGCCCTCAGGGTGCTTGGCAGTGAAGACCAATGTGGTCAGCGAGGACAGTGAGGAGGTTCACTCCAAAAACCCCCTCCTGAGCCAAGGAGGGGGGACACCAGCACAGACGTGCCTAGAAGAGCCTTCAACTCTGATTTGCCAGGTTGAAGTCAAGCTCTTTCTCTCCTTTCTGATTATCTTTGTGGCCATTCATTGCACTTGCCTTGAAGATTAGGAATTGATCTTTTTGGAGTGGACCAGGCTGAAATGCCACATGTGGTTCTGGGTGGAGAAGAATGGCAAATTGTCCCACATTCACCGCAGTAGTTCAATAAATCATTAAATATCAGGGGATGGCAAAGGACGGAAACAGTTTCTTTCTTTTTCTCTTTACTTTTGTACATTAAATAGTACTGTATATTTAACATAAAACTACCGAATTGCCCCTAGGATCAGTTTAAAGGATTCACTTAATCTTTTTTTAAAGTCAAAATATGAGAGGTAAGGGAAAAATGCCCAACATTTTACACTGAGGATTTGGGATTTTCATTTTCTTTAAGGTCAGACGGTGACTTGATTCCTTATTCTGCTGCTGGTTTTGTTTAATAAGTTTCCATCTGTGGGAGAAGCTTCTGGCTTTTGAGTAATGCTGAACGCATTAAAGCCAGCTGATAAACGAGATGGTTTTACTTGAATGTCAGAGTATTAACCAAGAAAAATTTGAGGGGAGATGCACAACACTGAGCTGGTGAAATCATCCTAAAACATGATAGTTGGTTCTGATGAAGGTTCACGTGTCAAGGTCAGGCTTTTTTTACCTCCAACAGGGAGGATACAATATGGGTATGGGGCTGGACTTTGATTTCAATGAGTTTTGGATGGGTTTTGGTATTATTTTGTAGGGTGGTGAAAAAAGCTTGTCTGGTGGCAACTGGGTCTTTCTCTCTTCCTTTAGTGCCGGAGAGCAGCGCTGGCATTATTCCCAAGACCATTGAGGTGTCCCTCTACAAGGAAGGCAACAGCTTTGGCTTCGTGTTGAGAGGTTAGTGGCTTCTCCAGTGGAAAACAAAAGAGCACTGGCAGAGGTGATTTGGGAAGTGGCAAGAGAAAATTAGGAAGAGGGATGTCATAAACCTCAGCCGAAAGCAAAAGCGTGTCCTGGAGAGCATCCCATGCAGCCTTCAGGGACTGCCGGCTGCCTAATCCAGGGCAGTCTTTTTGCTTTCAGGCTGCGTCAGCTGTTATGTGATAAATGGCTCTCCTTTCTCAGCACTCTCATTCAGACTTTCAAGCCTCCAGTGACTTACGGCTTTCCGGGTTTGATTACAGGGGGAGCCCATGAAGACTGGCACAAGTCCAGGCCGCTGGTGCTCACCTACGTGAGGCCGGGTGGCCCAGCAGACAGGTAATGCTTGTGTTGCACCTCCAATGTTTGCCTTCACAAGACAGACCAGCAGCTCTCACCATGCTCTTGGGCGTGTGTCCTTCTTGTCCTCCTTGACCCAAGGTTTCTCACACTGCTGGTGTGGAATGACACAGGTGGTGTGTGGGAAGGATGGGTCCAATGCTCATGGGCTGACCCGTGTGTAGATGTTACAGGTATAGGCAGAAGCTCCTCTTCCAGAGGCAGCCACTTAATTGAACCTGAGCAGAGGAAGAGCTGATGCTGTGTTAGAAACCAGGAGGCAGTCTATCTATTCTCATGCTGCTAATTTAATGTGATGGGCCTGGCACTATAAATAACCCAAACCGTTGTTCCAAGGAGTGTTCAATTCCTACAGGATCAAAGTAATCGGCTTTTTAATATATATATACACCCCCTATGTATATATAAAATGTATACAAAATTATATAATTATATGAGATATGCACAACATCTATAGCTATATTATAAATATATAAAAAAATATATAAAAATACATCTAAATATAAATGAATACATATATATACAAGCAGAAGTTTTTTTTAGTAACTTTTGCCTGTGGCTTCCTACAGGGAAGGGTCCTTGAAAATTGGGGACAGGCTGCTGAGCGTCGATGGGATCCCTCTGCACAGCATGACCCACGCCGATGCCCTCAACATCCTGCGGCAGTGCAGCCAGGAGGCACTCTTCCAGATCGAGTACGATGTGACCATCATGGGTAAGGCAAAGGTGGCTGTGGTCACATTTTCTCTAACTGCCTGGAAACCATGTGAGACTAGAGACAGCAACTGAGATACTCGGTTTCAGTGGAAAAATTGCCGAGCAACGCGCTGCCAACATGGGTGTAGGATGCAGAGTTCAAAGACGTCTATGTTAAAGGCATTTGAAATGCCCTTATCCGATGGCGTGCCTGGATGGGAATGATGACTGATTTTAGAGGAGGGGGGGAAAGGGGAGTTTCTAATGTAGGCAAAGAGGGCACAGGAGAAATGGGAGTTACAGGGCACTGGAATGTCGGCGCTCCGCCAGCACTGCAAATACACTATTAAATGTGTGCAGGGGAGTGAGCTGCAAGCAGGCAGAGACTTGATATGGCTACAGCTTTGGTTCTGAATTTTGACTTAATTCTAGAACTATTCTCTTTCTTAGAAATGTTAGTTCAGATCTGCTGCTGAAATAAATGTGGGGTAATCAACTGATTGACCCCAAAGACGATAGAATTTACTGGAGGGCAGAGGATGGGTATTTCTAAAAAGTGTTCTACACAGTAGATATTAAGTTTGAGGGTTTGGAGGGTTGGTGGTTTGTTTTTTTGTTTTGTGTTGTTTTTTATTTTATTTGATTTTCAGCTTCAAGCTCTGGGAAAGAGTTTATTATTAGCTGCTGTAAAGTAATTTTGAGCTGGCTTTGTGACACACAGCTGTTACTGCAGGGAGCGTTGTTAATGAGTTTAAGGTTACCACGGAGTCCGAAGCTGTGTTGGCTCTGGAAGCTCGTTGAGCTGTGCATTAGATTTTGATGTTGCATATATGTCTCCAGAGGGGTTTCTGCCTCCGCTGGAGCTACAAGCTGGCCTAGGTTGGAGTTTTTTTCCACAAATCTTGCAAACCAGTTCAGCACGTCTGAGCCTAGTATCCAGTAAGGAATAGGAGTCCGTGATACCAGGTTGTTTTGTGATTAGTCAGTGAGGAGGGAAAAAGGATCTGCAGCTGAGAGAGTTTAATACCACACTACCCCCAAGCTGAGAACAGCCAAACTCACTCCATGCAATGTGTGAGAGGGTTGCACCAGGACAAGGGAGCTTTTTGTGCCAGCCCTGAGGGCTTTCTGCTTCCTTTTGAGTCTCCTTCTCCCAAGCTTTCCCCTCCCTTTCAGCAGAAGCTCCACAAGTGTGGACATACTGGGTCTCCCCTGGGGCAGGAGGCTGCCAGGACCTGGGTAAGCATGTGCCACACAGACACGTGCTCTGCTGGAAGAGCTGGAAGGGAAACCTGCTGCCTCAGCCATTGCCTGCAACCTGACCTGCCTGGCTTCTGCCGTGCTACGGGAGCAGCTTCTCCTTAGAAATTGGCTGGTATTCATGAAAAAGAGGAAGTGCTTAAATGATGGAAAACAGAAACCACCTTAACCCTATTTTCTACCTTCCTATGTGCTTGGATTGTGGTAACTGCAGTGGTCAGTGAGGGATGCCCGTTCCTTTCCTTGCAGGCTGGCTGGGCTGGCAGCCCTGCCTGGGGAGGGGGCAAGCAGAGTTAAGGAGGGATTTTGCACGGAGCTGTCAAGTCTGAGCAGTAGCAAACAATTAATGGTGCGTGTGAAATGGGCTTTTTGGGGGGTTTTGTTGTTTGTATAGTCCCCCGGTGCCTTTGTTGCAGAAAGTTGATTGTTTTAAAACCTGACTTGGAGCAAAAATAGCCATGAAGGTGTCTGGGTATTTCTTCTTGAGTAATTCTCCCACATAAAAATGTTAGGGTTGAGTGAACACAGAGCGATGGTAGGGTTTTATGCAGTGATTCTCCATCTTGTGTTGCTATTACGGTGCACCACGACCAGATACTTCCCAAGATGTAAAAACAACCCCTTTCTTAGATAATTTCTGCATAGAAAGTACTTCTCCCCAACCTTGTAAAGGGATATTCTTGCTCTGCTTTCTTTTAAGGCAAGATGATGTAGAATGTTTAGCTTAAAGCAATTCTGCAGTTTTGCCAGGCAACAGCTAATAACTGCAACAGGAGATGAGTGCTTCAATCCCAAATCACAACTATTACAGACTCTTCGAAATCTCAGCTATTACAATTCTCTTTCCCAGCCCCAGGAAGACGATGAGGGAAGGGAGTAGGAGGTGCTGGAAGCCCTGTGGGGATGTTATTAGCCTGAAGGGAGCACTCCTAATTCCCTTTTTGAAAACTTGGTGAAGGGGCTGGAGGGACACGTGGCCACATAGTTCACTTGATTCTTTACAAGAGCTGGAGACATCACCATGAAGTGGTGCTTGACCTGTTCATCCCCAGGGAAAATAGAGTTTTTTGCCTTGGGCTCGCTCTCCACTGCGGCCGCACACACCGGGGTGGTGTGGGCTGACCCTCGAGGAGGGAAAGTTGTTTTTCTGCATCTGTCCTTGGTGAGAGACCAAGGCTTCCGCGGGGGAGTGTTGAATCACGGCGTTCCCCAGCTGGCTGCTTGGATTCCCAGCCAAAATTACGCGCTGAGGATGAACTGCATGGGGCCAGCCCCGCTCTCCATGTGAGGGACACGGCAGCTGCTTGCCACCACCACCGAGCATCCCCTGGCTGCTGGGCTTCCACCAGGGAGGCCAGGGTAGGACAGGGCCACAGCAGGCTTTTAATCAAATTGGCTGAGATTTCTCAAGGCCACCAAAGGAATTAAATTAATCTGCCATTTCCATTTAAAAGGAGTGCGAACTGTGCAGGCACCTCCCTTGGGCATTGGGAAAATCTCTGCCCTTTGCCAGATAAACGTTGCAATAAACAGATGCTTTCCCACTGTGACACTCTATCTTACAAACCCTGAAAAAAAAAAAAGGGGGGGGAGAAAAAAGTAAAAAACCAACAAGTAAACTGATCAGCCAGAAACTGGTGGCACTTAAATGGTAACTCTGTAAATAAGCTGTGTGTGCCATGATGCAAGGCACAGGGCTGCAAGGCTTTAGGGTTGACTCATGGAGGGGGTAAACTCTCAGCCAGAGATGACAACTGAGCAAAGTGACTTGCTGTGCCTTCTCCTCCTCTCCCTTCCCCTGGCTGCCCCTCCGCCTATTCATTTTTAGGCTGGAGATTTTTGGGTCTGTGGGACTCTCCTGCTGAGGGAGTGGCGGGCTGGTGGTGTCCCACAAATGGGTGAGCGCTTGGCATCTGCTGAGCAGTGGCAGGAGGTAGGGTCTGAAGAGGGACCTGTGAAGTAAGAAGCCTCCATGTGGCTGTGAAGCCAGAGGGATCACAAGCTTCTGCAATCACAAGCTGTGTCAGGAAGGGGGCAGCTCCCTGGTTTTCTTCTCCTAAGAGGCTGTGGTTTATTTTTTTGCATCTGCAAGTTTGGTACCTATTCCCTCTTCCCTTTCTCCCTTTCCCTTGTATTTTTGGACAAGTTGTGTGACAGCTGTGCCTCAATTTCCCAATCTGTAAATGGTACCATCATCCTCTGGAAAGCACAATTCATTGCCCGCAAAACACTTTTATACCCTTAAGTGAAAATCTGCAACAGTCATGCAAGGCAGCATATACATGTGTATTTTTTCTGTTTCTTGGTGACAAAACGCTAGAGAAATGGTGCAAGCTGCTGTATCCATATTAAACTTGGTGTCACTGGCCTCAGGGATGCTTGTTCTGCAACAGTGTGGTTTTTGTCTCAGTACATGCTGAGCAGCATTTGAGTTAAATATCTGGTGAGTCCTAAGCCTCCAGAATGACTGCTTAGACTCTCAGCTTGTGAGAAAGAATCTTGGTTTTAGAAAGGTGAGATTTGCTGTGAAACAGGAGAGCTGCAGATGTCTTTTCCACAGATGCTGGGTGAGGTTGCAGCCATGGGTGATGTTGCAGAAACACCTCATGGTGCCAAAGCAGCAACACCAATTGACTCCCTACAGTAAGGTTATTGCATGGCCTGCCCTGGCCTCTCCGTGCTTCCTTTTAAATTAGCTTGGGTGTAATAGCCCCGTGTTAATCACGCCTCACAAATATTGCTAAATAGCAGACTCCTGACCTTTGATTTGAGCCAAATCTTTCCCTAGAATAATTAATAGAGGTTTGGCTGGTAATGTCTCAACAAATGCCTCTACAAAATGGATTTGGAGTAATTCTCATCTATGCCACTGGAGATGAGAATTAAAAGGGATGTCAGGGTGGCCCATGTGGTGAGAGGTGAGACTGTGGGCTGGAGGCAGGACTGTGATTTCCTATAGTCTTATTGATCCTGGCATGGGAGGAGGTACCCAAAGCTCTTTCTTCTCACCATTGTGCTGAGACCTCCCTGGGAAACACTTGGCAAAGCTGTGAAGCTTGGATGCTGGGTAAAACTGAGAGGAGTAGGTATTTTCCTTGCAAAGAAAGGTCTACAACTCCGACAAGCTTTTTTTCTTTTTTCCTATCTCCTTCCCTTCAGCTGGAGGAATATAAATCTGTGACCCTCTGCAGAGGATATGTGCTAGACACACATGGGCTGCAAACCCAATATATAGCTGGTGTTTGCTGTTTGAAGAGATCCTCAGTCTCTTGTTGCTTCCTTTGCTAACAAAGGCTTAAGTGCACCTTCCACAGGCTTTAGCTGGGTGCTTTGTGTATCTTTTGATTGAATGGGGCTGTTCTTTTTGCCAGGGCCTGCAGGTCTCCCCAGGGCTCCTTTTCAACAGAGAATAAATAGTGTTTTATTTGAAGCCTGCACAACCTTTAACGTGGCTCATTTTTCCTCTTTCCTCCCCTGGGAAAAAGAGCACTGCAAGTAGACGAGAGCTTGAACATCTCCTGGCTGATCCTCAGGTGAAATTTCCAAGGGATGTTCCTTTCTCCAGAGACTCAGCATCTTCAACAAATTTCAGGAAAGACCTCACTGTGGCTTAGCTTCTGAGATCTGCATCAATGCTCCCGTTTATCAGAGAGCAAGAATGAGCCATGCATCAAGTTTTGGAGCCAAGTAGCATCAGCATTTTTAGCGGAGCATAGCTTTGCAAGAGAAAAGCTTTACTATGAATAATTAAGGGCTGAGGAGGCATCAAGCTCTCAAGGGCTCTGCTGGCCTTTCCTTCAAAGTGGATGGCTGGGTTTCTGTGAACTGCTCTTGTTGGGGGGGGGGGGGGGGGG